CTTTTGCACAATAGAGTTCCGTGTTCTGTCGGTCCATAGCGTATAAAAACACCAATCATTTTTAAAAGCCTTTAAAGGTGCTTTTTTCATTAGGTGTTTTAAAAAGGGCTTAATTTTCTCCTTTCGAAATTTCTTTACCATGTCGATTTTTGCCACATATTGTGCAAAAGCATGCTTTTTACATTGTTCTATTCAACGTTATTCACAATTCATTCAACCACAATCGATTTCCGTGTTCCATCGGTCCATAGCGTATAAAAACACCAATCATTTTACATGTTTGATGAAATACTTGCAAGTCTGCATGTGCATATACTGAGCTGAGTTCGGTGAGATTATTGCACTCTCACATGCAACTCTGCTGCATTTTGCAAGATATTCTCAATTTCTAGCTTCATTTTTAATCCTATGATATCGAAACAGAAATCTCTTGAATCTAAAATTCTCTTCTCTAAATTCTTGAATCTAAAATCTCTTGAATGAAAATCTAAAAAATCTCTTGAGCATTTTGAATGGCTAATATAATCAAGAAAAGAGTTTGTCAGAAACTTGTTATTTTATCATGATCATGTTAAGTCTTTGAAAATTATTTTGTGTTTTGTTTATGTATATAGTGCTTAAAAATATTTTCGAGTGCTTAAAAGGTGCTTATTTTTTGTTGAAAGAATCGGCTATGCACCCTCATAGAGTAATAACCAGTTTACGATAGTTTTTATATAAACTTAGTTTACTCATCTCTTATGTTTTGTTTTGTCATGACAATAAATTTAAAGTATACTATCAAAGAATTTTTAGGATAACCTTAAGCCTTGTGCAGAATTTTGATTAAGGAGCTCCAAGATTTTCAGATACAATGAAATTTGTGTTAACTTTATTTTAATAAAAATTTTACAAGTCTGCACCTGGGTGCACAATATGCAGCACTATATGCATTATGCACTTTGATGCTGCAGTAGTTGGATTCTAAATTTGTCAGGTAAGCCCCCGATGATAAAGAATCTAATTAGTGCATTGATATACATAGTACGTATCTATATTGCATATTAAGTTCATTTATACGCAAAATTTATGTAATGCATATACACATAATACGTAAAGTACAGACAATACTTTATGTGCTGGTATGAAAGCAAACTTGAATTTTTGATTAAGATTGAAATATATTGTTAGCTATTTTTTGTAGTAACAAAAATAAGCATTGACATACATGCTTAATTAATTTTAGTCTTTTCATATAAAAAGATCAATTTTGGATTATTGTAAAAGATTTTGTTGGACTACTTATAAATATTTAATGAATCAGCAAGTGACTAAACTAGAAGAAAGTCTTGGAAATCTTAAATTGGATTCTTTAAAATTATATTTTGCAGATCCTTTTATCCTCTTGTTATTATCTGGCTCTATATACCCCACAATTATTCTATTTGTCAAACTAGATCTCTTTCCTTTAGATAATTTTACTTTTGATAAGACTATGCTGTGCAGATTAGAAGTAGAATTTAAATTTAAAGAAGATTCATAAACATACCATAATTTTATTTAGATAGTTTAGTTGCTGAAAGTAAGGATAAGCATATTTAAAGCTCCTCTCTTGAAAGTGCAATTTATTTATTATTTCTTCATCTGGACAAACAATAGTTTTAAAATGATTAACATTTTGATGAAAACTGTTATTTTAAATAAAAACAATTTAACATCAGAAAGT